CGCGTCCAACGTACATTCACACGTGAACGCGGGAGTTAAACCCGTGCTCCTGGCTACCGCACGTGTTTGTATAGGATCAGAAAACGGTCGACATGTTTACACGCGAGCACTAATCGATCAAGGTTCCGATGCCACATTCGTTTCGTCACGAGTCGCTCAAATGTTGAGAGCTCGCTTAATTTCAACACGCGTAAAGGTATCTGGCATCGGTGACACTACGTCTAATTGCGTTCAACATGCCGTCTCTATTTCTATCAGCGCGACTAATAAAAATGATACGATTCTTCATACCAAAGCATTGGTCGTTCCAAAAATTACAGCGTACATTCCACCTCATTTCCAATTACAAGAGATTCCGTTTCTTTCCAAATTGAATCTAGCCGATCCAAATCCAAGCTCAAATGATGCAATCGAAGTACTTCTCGGGGCCGAATTATACGGTTCAATTATGATGGGTGGCTTAATGAAAGCTTCTAACGATGCTACACTTGCGCAAGAAACGATATTCGGGTGGATCATTTCGGGTCCTATTTCAAACCAAAAAAATAGCCAAAGAATTCACGTTCACCAAGCAACTTCTGGCAATCTCGATTTCGAACTCCGACGTTTTTGGGAGCTGGAAGAAATTCCAACGACACACGCTCTCTCAGAGGAAAATCTTCGTTGCAACTTACATTTTCAAGAGACACATATGCGCGATTCTTCAGGGCGCTATGTTGTCCGCTTACCCTTCAAGTCTGGTCCTCCGATAAAAATCGGCGAGTCAAGGTCAGTAGCTACGCGTTCACTCGCGCAACTAGAGCGACGTTTAGCCAATTCTCGGGAAATTTCAGGGCAATACGTCGACTTTCTTAACGAGTACGAAGAGCTCGGGCATATGCAAAAAATCGAAAACGTGCAACGCTTCTTTCAACCGACGTTTCTACCTCATCATCCAGTTATTCGCGAGGACAATACTACAACCAAACTTCGTGTAGTGTTTAATGCCTCGGCAAATACCTCGAATAACACTTCTTTGAATGACCATCTTATGATTGGTCCAAAGTTGCAAGCCGATCTTCCGGCGATTATTCTTCAATGGCGTTTGTACAAATACGTTTTTTCCGCTGATATTCAGCAAATGTTTCGACAAATACAGATTCATTCAGACGATCGCCAATATCAATTAATATTGTGGCGTACGATTCCGAACGAGCCAGTCCATACTTATTCATTAAATACCGTTACTTATGGTACTGCCTGCGCGCCTTATCTCGCCCAACGCGTGCTCAAACAACTTTCAATCGACGAGAGTTCGCGTTTTCCACTAGCTCAAGCAATTTTGCAAAATGAAATATACGTTGACGATGTCCTATCCGGAGGCGATGATAAACCATCCACGATTAAAAAACGCGACCAACTAATCGGCTGTTTACTAAGCGCAGGCATTCATCTCAGAAAATGGGCCAGCAACGATTTTGAAATTCTACAAGATATAAATCCTGCGAATCACGGTCTAGCAAGTTCCAAGCCTTTCCAAGAAGGTGAACAATTAAAAATACTCGGTATTCATTGGACACCTTGCGATGATAATTTTTCCTTTGAAATAAAATTCCGTCCACCATCTACCGACATTTCGAAACGACAAATCCTTTCGACGATAGCGAAAATATTCGATCCCCTCGGATGGGTGTCTCCGATCACGATATCTCTCAAAATTCTACTGCAAAAACTGTGGAAATTTTCCTACGGATGGGATGATATTCTTCCTGCGGAAATAACAACCGAATGGAATGCTTTTTGCGAAAAGATGTTACACTTGACGACTCTGCAAGTTCCTCGTTGGTTAGGCTTCGAGCGTAACATTCAGTGCTTGCATTTACACGGCTTTTGCGACGCTTCATCTAAAGCCTATGCAGCGGTAGTCTATTCAAAAATTGTCACGAATTCTGGCGATAGTCATGTTCGACTTCTTCTATCAAAAACCAAGGTTGCTCCGATTAAAACGATTTCGATTCCACGACTCGAGCTCTGTGCGGCTCAGCTGCTAGCACGCTGTATTTCGTTTACTATTGACGCGATGAAATTGCAAAACATTCCTGTGTTTTGCTGGAGTGACTCGACAATCGTATTAGCATGGTTGCAAAAGGCTCCATCAGATTTAAAAGTATTTGTAGCTAACAGAGTGTCTTCTATTCAAACGAAGCTTCCTACGGCGACATGGCTGCATGTGCCAACAGAAGATAATCCCGCAGATTGCGCATCGCGCGGCATAAATCCAGCTCAGCTAACGCCTTCCAGTTCCTGGTGGAACGGCCCGGCATGGCTGAAATTTAACGAGGATAATTGGCCAGTTCAATCTACGATAAGTTGCACCGAAGATGATTCCGAATTGAAAGCGTCAAATGCAGTCCACTCGCATCATTCAAATCGAGCGGAACTTTTTGAATCCTTCAATCATATCTCCACGTGGCCACGCTTACTACGGGTCACCGCATACGTCCTTCGGTTCAAGTTTCGAACGAGAGTCCCAGATGTTGCTCAAGGTCTCTCTATTTTGCAAGTTGATGAAATAAAAACCGCGCACAGATTCTGGATTAAACAGATGCAAACGGAATACTTTTCAAAAGAAATCGTCGCTTTCAAAGCCAAGTCGAGGTTACCAGTTCGATGCTCCATCCATTCTCTCGATCCGTTCCTGGATCCCTCCGGTATCCTACGCGTGGGTGGTCGACTTCAACTGTCTGACCTTTCATATGATCGTAAATTTCCGATTCTACTTCCAAAGCATTACCTTTCTAAGCTCATTATCGATCAAATTCATAAGGATACACTTCACGGCGGTGTACAGTTAATGCTTCGCACGTTGCGAGAACAATATTGGATTCTGGGGGCGCGAAGCATGGTAAAAGGTTGTATCCGCAATTGCGTGACATGTACTCGGCATCGCGCCATAACCGGCGTACAATTTATGGCCGACCTTCCTACATTTAGAGTAATTCCGTCCCGTCCATTTTGCCATACGGGACTTGATTACGCCGGCCCCTTCGCAATTCGAGACGCTTCCGGCCGCGGACGTAAGTCGCACAAAACATACATCTCGCTATTTGTTTGTCTCGCTACACGAGCTATACACTTAGAGCTCGTTCATGATTATTCCACGGCTGCGTTTCTCGCATCTTTCGAACGGTTCGTAGCGCGTCGTGGCATTCCATCCGATCTTTATTCCGACAACGCGACTACCTATCAAGGCGCGGATCGCGAACTTGTTACAGCGATCCGACAGACTCAAGCCGACGTAGATCTGCAGGCGAAGTTCGCGTCAAAGCCAGTTCAATGGCATTTCATTCCGCCTTCTGCCCCTCATTTTGGGGGCATGTGGGAGGCAGGTGTTAAGAGTGTGAAGCACCATTTGCGACGTATACTTGGTTCCTGCACACCTACGGTCGAAGAGTTCACCACGCTTTTATGTAACATCGAAGCATGTTTGAATTCGCGCCCGATCGCCGCACTTCATGACGATGTAAATTCTTGCAATGCGCTCACACCAGGGCATTTTTAATTGGTAGCGCCATTAAATCGATTCCGAGTCCGAGCGTCTTACATATCTCCGGGTCACGACTCGATCGATGGCAATTAATGCGTGCGAAATACGAGCAATTTTGGAAATTGTGGAGTCTTGACTACTTGAACACCTTGCAGCAGCGTTTTAAATGGCAGAATCGATCTGATGAATTTCGCATAAACGATATTGTTCTAATAAAAAATCCTAATTTACCTCCCTGCAGATGGGAACTTGCGAGAATCATCGAATGTAAGCCTGACAAGGATGGCCTGGTGCGAGTTGCTCAGGTCAAGACCGCGTCTTCTACTTTTGTAAGACCTATTGTTAAACTCTGTAAATTGCCGGTAAGTCCGGACGGTTCAGCGTAATCTAAATTCTGCAGGTTGTCTCCAATGATTGCAGTTCAATGTGTAAGGATTTACCCCTGACTGTCATTTGAATCCCTTGGCGATTCAACCCGAGGGGTATGTTTGGGAAAAAATTAAATTTCCGTGATCCCCGCGCGCCTTCGATATACGCTCCTGAGAGCTCTCTGTAATTGTGTACATCGACAGTTTGTTATTGCGTCCACAAGGGCGAAGCGCCGAATTAGGAGAGAGTTTCCGCGTCTTTAAAAAGGAGCGATGCGGCACGGAAGGCGAGTCTGGTACGACGAGCCGTCCGGTAAACCCGAGAAGAACATTTGTGATCCGAAGAATAAAAATTACGTATTCTTACTTAGAATAAAGAGACTAGTTCCTGCTATCTATCCTTGCCTATCGACGCAGTCCACAAGAGAGAACTAGGCGATAGCTCCGATAAAACCCAAAGGAGAAAATATACAAAACATAGAAAAATAATCTTTTTATTGTTATAGGAACTAAAGTGTATCTCCTCTCGCGTGACCGCGGTGTTTACAATTATCGGGGATTTAACGTAAGCGCTTTCTTTTCGCAGGCGCGGGGTATACGTATACCGGTGCGGCCGAGCGCTATTTTAAAGAATATTAATAAAAAATGATGCATGATGCATGTTGCATGTCACGATTTGCATGAGCTTTAACGCAATAATGTTCTTAGGTCTTTTCAGTTTACAATCAGCCGTTCGATTTTCGAACATTCCGCCCGCCTTGCAGTATACCTGCAATCGAACAAGAAGTGCGAGAGAGAGGGCGCGCCTATTCACGCTCTCGCGAATGACGGGCACGTGGAGCGCACGTGCTCTGACGGATTTAGCTCAAGTAATTCCGGATCGAACAGCTGTTTATTTTCGAGCGCGGCAGTATATACGCGTGTCGGTGAGCGCATCGAGGAATACGCGACAATTTGGATTGTGATTTTAACCGTGATTGAGTATGAACGAATAGTGGAGTGATAAGAAGATTGCAGCGATGCAAAGAGTGGAATAGTGAGTGGAATGCAGTTGTGATTGATGTGAGTTAGTTTGGAACGGTGCAAATTAAGGGTTGATGAATTGACTAATCGCTTTGGGTTTTAGGTGGCAGTTCGTCAGCGTCGGGAAGGAAAACGAGTTTGCTAACGGGTCGGGTCAAGACAGTGGTGGCGGTGCGGACCTCGACGACGCGAACGTGTCCGTCGGCTCCGGAGAGCAATTTGGTGATGCGCGCTAGAGGCCACCTCGTTGGAGCGGTCATTTCGTGACGGATTAAACAGAGTCGACCGACGCGAGCTTCCCGGTTTATTTTGAACCATTTCGGCCGATGAGCCAGCGTGTGCAGATATTCGCGAGACCATCGAGACCAGAAATGATCTTTCATCTTTTGTAGAAGCTGCCACCGGGAGAGGCGCGACGACGATTCCTCGGTCAGCGACGGTTCGGGGACGGCGGAGAGCGCGGAGCCGATGAGGAAATGGCCGGGCGTCAGCGCGCTGAAGTCCTCCGGGTCGTCGGTCAGCGGTTGCAGAGGCCGAGAGTTGAGGCAAGCCTCGACCTGGGAGAGGAGAGTGGCCATCTCCTCGTAGGTGAGTGTAGCTTCTCCTATCACTCTGCGAAGATGGTGCTTCATTGACTTGACTGCCGCTTCCCAGATGCCACCGAAGTTGGGCGCAGCCGGCGGGTTGAACCGCCACTGAATTTGTTCCTGAGCAGCGAAGGAGGCGATGCGACGGCCTTCAGGGTTTGTGGCTGCGAATAAGTCTCGGAGTTGCGTGTCGGCGCCTATGAAGGTGGTCCCACAGTCGCTGTATAGCGTTTGGCATACACCTCGCCGAGCGATGAACCGACGCAAGGATGCCAAGAAGGCGTCGGCCGAGTAGTCCGAGGCGACATCAAGATGGACGGCCCTGGAACCTAAACAGATGAAAACGACAATGAAGGCCTTAGAAGATTTTTGCCCGCGGCCTTTGGCACTTCGCAGCCAGACGGGTCCGGCGTAGTCGACGCCAGTATGGAGGAATGGTCTTCCTGGCGTCACTCGGGGCGCAGGCAAGTCACCCATGAGAGGCTGTGCTGTAGCCGCCCGCCATCGCAGGCATCTAACGCAGCGGTGAATGTGGTTTTTAACGAGGGATCGTCCACGAGGAATCCAGAATTCTTGGCGGATGGAACACAGGGTCAGCTGGGTGCCCCCATGCAACGATCGTCGGTGATGCTCATCGATGACGAGGTAAGTAATTCGCGACGAGCTCGGTAGGATGATTGGATGGGTAGCCTGAAAAGACATTTGAGAATGTCGTAGACGCCCTCCGACGCGAATAACGCCCGAATCGTCCACAAACGGGCTGAGCTTATTGAGTGGGCTTCGGTTGGGCAGTGATGTCAGTCCTCGCAACGATTTTAACTCGTCCTTGAAATTTGCAGCTTGGACGAGCCGTACCCAGTGGATCAGCGCGTCATGCAGTTCTTCAGCGTCTACCCCGCCGTCGCGATTGAGAAGGATGGGCTGCCGTCGGCGTTGTCGAAACCACCGGAGACACCAGGCGGTGATGCGAAGTAGTCGCTGCAGGGACGAGTATCGGAGTAGCAGCTCCGGTTCGTCTCCTCGCTTGTCCAAGACTGCAGCGTGCGAACGGACTCGACGTTCTGGTAGCTCGACGTTGCTGGGATCCTCTCCGAAGACAGTCCAAGGGCCGCTCTCCGTTTTCAGCCAAGAGGGACCCTGCCACCAAAGTGGATGCGCCTCAAGATCTCCAGGGAAGATGCCTCGAGAGGCGCAGTCGGCCGGGTTTTCGCGTCCAGGGACATGATGCCAAAGGGCGTCGGGGAGCGACGTCTGAATTTCGCTGACCCGGTTGGCAACGAATGTGACCCAGGAAGAAGGATGTCCACGGATCCAGCCGAGAACCACTGTGGAGTCTGACCAGAGATGAAGAGGCGCCTTTTCAGCTCCGATGAGAGGCAGCGTTTGCTGAACGAGGCGGACCAGAAGAGTTGCGGCTGATAATTCGAGCCGAGGTAAGGAGATTTGTTTTAGCGGAGCAACTTTCGTCTTGGCGGCAATCAGCGTAACTCCATACTCCCCGTTCTTCTCGGTTTTTAGGTACACCACAGCGGCGTAGGCACGGACTGAGGCGTCAGCGAATCCGTGGACTTCCAGGCGGCAGTCAGTCGATCCTCCGCCCAGCCATCGAGAAACGTGCAGTCTCTCTAGTTGAGGGAGCTCCGCTTGGAAGCGTAACCAGGCCTTCTCATGGTCGTCCGGAAGAGGAGTGTCCCAGTCGATGCCGAGCAACCAAGTAGACTGGATTAGAGTCTTGGCGAGAACAGTCGTGGGAGACAGCCAACCGAGCGGATCAAACAGCTTCGCTGTCAACGATAAGACTGACCGCTTAGTGATCGTGGGCAGCGTTGGTTGGCTGGTGGCGAAGGAGAAGAGGTCGTCGCAAGGTTGCCACCGTAATCCCAGGGTGGCATGACTTTCCCCAGGCAGCCACCATCTTGCCTCTTGCTGGAGGCAGTCCTCGGTAGGTAATGTCGAAAGTAACTGCGGGTGATTAGCTGACCATTTTTTCAGAGGGAAGCCTCCCACCTTGCAGACCAGAACAAGCTGTCGGAGGATTTCCTTGGCTTCCTGGAGGGTAGAAGCTCCAGACAGGATGTCGTCCATGTAAACGTCGGAGCGGAGGACCGCGGCTCCCTCAGGATGACGATCGCCTTCGTCCACGGCGAGCTGATGCAGCGTGCGGATGGCCAAGTATGGAGCGCAGGCTAAACCGTAAGTCACAGTAGTCAGCCAATATTCCTTGATCTCTGTCTCCGAGTCCTTCCTCCACAATATTCTTTGCAGGCTCTGATCATCGGCATGCACCAGGATTTGCCGGTACATTTTTTCAAAGTCGGTAGCAAAGACGAACCGGTGCCTTCTCCACCGTAGTAGGATGTCAGCTAGGGCGGGAAGCAGGTTGGGTCCCGTCATCAGGAATCGGTTGAGACAGTCGCCGTTGGCCAAAGAGCTCGAACCGTTGAAGACCACTCTCAACTTAGTAGAGGCACTGCTTTCGCGCAGGACCCCGTGGTGAGGAAGGTAGCAGGTTCGCTGTAGAGATCCAATAGTCGACAGGGGAGCCGGCTTCATATGGTTGAGGTCCAAGTATTGCTCCATGAAATCCACGTACATGCTGCGGAAGGTATTTTCTCGTTCTAATTTTTTGCTGACGTGTTGCAGGGCTCGACTGGCGGCGCGTCGAGTGGCTGAGAGATCAGGCAGAGGCTCGATCGTCGGCAGTCTCACCACATATCGACCGTTGGCTGTACGACTGTGATGTCGCAGGAAGTGATCCTCGCACTCCTGGTCAGCCTTGGAGAAGAGTTGTGAAGGCCGTTGAAGCTCCTCCTGCTCCCAGAAGCGTCGCACCAGGATAGAGACGTCGTCCTCAACTCGGCATTGGTGAGTGTGAACGTGATGTCCGGTAGTCGTCTCACCAACCACGCCTGACAGTATCCAGCCGAGCGTGGTTTGTTGAGCTATTGGTTCATGTCGATTTCCCTTTTTTAGGCCCTGACAGAGGATCGAACCGTAAATGTCCGCGCCAAGGAAAATGTCAACCGGATCAGCTGAGCGGTAATCAGGGTCCGCGAGCTCCAGACCCTGAAGATGAGGCCAGTTATGCCCGCCGCCGTTGTAGCCGCCGGCGTAGATGGTCAGCTTCGGCAGCACCAGGGCGTGGACGGTGATGGAAGGGCAGCCACTAAGAGACTGGAGGGTGAGTACCACTTTACCTTTTAAGACACCTGTCTTTTTCCCGCCGACTCCATACACGGAAACTGAAGCGGAGCTCCGTGCTAGCCTCAAGCGTTGGGTGAGCCTTTCCGACACAATGGAGGATTCCGAGCCTTGGTCGACGAGGGCGCGAACGGACTGCCAGGAACCATAGCGATCGCATACGCGAACGCGTGCCGTGGCCAAAAGTACCGCTACAGGCGTCGGAACCGGTCCCTTGCTGACGTGCGCCGTTTTGACGGTCTCCGATGAGCGGTAGGCATCATGGAGTGAGGTATGATGCCGGTCATTGCACGCAGAGCAGTTCTTCTTGGAGGCGCACTCCTTGGTCTTGTGTCGGCCGAGACAGTTTCCGCACAAGTCGTTGCCTTCGACGTGCTGCTTGCGCTCTGAGGCCGTCATTTTCCTATAAGCGTCGCACAGCATCACGAAGTGGTCACCCTGGCAGGCTGAACAGCGTCCTCTAGTGTTTCCCTTGAGCTCCTTTGAGTCCAGCTTACGAGCATGGTGCGTACGAGTCGACCTCGACTGACTCCCGCTGGCCTTGTTGGACGAGACGTCGATCTTCGTCGAGGGCAACGACTCCAGAGTATGAAGGCGTCGCTCAAGGAATCGCTCTAGCAGAGCGTATGGCGGAGGCTCGTTCGTTTCACTGATGGAGGTCTCCCACTCGCGGCGAGAGCGACTATCGAGAAGGTCAACGGCGAGGTGCACAAAGAGATCTTCAGTACTCCCTACTGGCCGGTCGATGCTCGCCAGCGAGCTGACCGTAGTCTTGATGCCGTGGAATATCTTCCTAAGCTCAGTAGAGGATTCTCCCTTCATCTTTGGCAGGCTTAAAAAATTCGTTAAATAAGAGCGGGTTAGTAAGCGCTTATTTTCGTAGTAGTCGCTTAGAGTTCGCCAGGCTCGCTCGTAATTGGCTTCGGTAGAACTGAGGTCTCTGATGAGAAGATCTGCCTCGCCCTTGACACAGCTCTTCAAGTAATGCATTTTTTCCACAGGCTTCGTCGTCTTATCCTGGCCGATAAGGGAGACGAAGAGGTCTCGGAAGGCCGGCCAATCCTCGTATCTTCCCGTAAAGGTCGGTACCTGGATTCGAGGTAGCGTGGTGCGAGGCGCCGATGGTGATGTCTCTGAAGTAGCAGAAGCAGCGGCGCGTTCCTTCTTCTGGAGAGTACGCCGCATCTCCAACATCAGGCCCTTGTTCACTAGATAAGACTCTTCGCCGAGTGAAGGTATGTCCTGTTTAGCATAGACGTCATGCTTTATTTCGTCTACACGCTCAGCCAAGATATCATTCATCGCATCGAACTTCTCCCACAGTTTGTCGAGATTCAGAAGCCGGGCTTCCACTGCACCGAGTGTGATGTTGGCCTCGCCGAGCTTACGAAGGTTATCGTATGCGCGCGAAATCTTGCCATATAGCGCGGTGGCGTTGGTAATTATAGTCGTTGTGTCTGCCATCTCTGACACTGTCTTATTTTCAGATGCACTGTTCACCTACACTGAAAGACTCTACGCTTCCGTGGCACCGGATTCACAGGAGGTTCTGGAGGATCCGGCTCGAAGGACCAAAAATAATGTGCGCGACGGAAGGCAGGATAAGGATGTCGGAAGCGAGAAGACGGCGAAGCACGACACTCGACAAAACGTATCGTTTAATATAACTATATTTTAACTAAAAACAAAGAAAAATACAAATACTGAAAACCGCACAGAATTTACAAAAAGTTAACGGATTAGGAGAATCCAAAAGAAATAGCCGAGTCGGTAATTAATAATTAAACGTTCCGCAAGCAACGGTAATTAGACGTGGTAAAGAGAAAAAGACAAGCGATCTTTTTAAAACAGTAGCAACACACTCTTGACGCGACGAGCAATCGGAGAAGAGCGCCGCGATCACGAGAGAGGAGGCTTTTATAGGCCCGTGTTTCTAGAATAGTCGAGAAGAATCCTCTTTATTCTATCGTTTTGCTGAGGTCGAAAGAGCGTTTTGTGTAATTGTTTACTTTTAGAATGTTTGGGAAAAAATTACATTTCCGTGATCCCCGCGCGCCTTCGATATACGCTCCTGAGAGCTCTCTGTAATTGTGTACATCGACAGTTTGTTATTGCGTCCACAAGGGCGAAGCGCCGAATTAGGAGAGAGTTTCCGCGTCTTTAAAAAGGAGCGATGCGGCACGGAAGGCGAGTCTGGTACGACGAGCCGTCCGGTAAACCCGAGAAGAACATTTGTGATCCGAAGAATAAAAATTACGTATTCTTACTTAGAATAAAGAGACTAGTTCCTGCTATCTATCCTTGCCTATCGACGCAGTCCACAAGAGAGAACTAGGCGATAGCTCCGATAAAACCCAAAGGAGAAAATATACAAAACATGGTCCTTCGAGCCGGATCTGTGTCGAGAAATTAACGGATGGATTCAAACAAGATACACGTGCAAGCAGTGCAACTACTTCAAGTGAGCCATTCAACAATTGCGCTACATTCCGAGTAAAAATTTCCGTACGACAAGGAAGTATTTCGACTCACGTACATACGTTCTCCATTTCAACACCGTGTTTACCTTACAAGGTCGAGCTCTGCAAGACAATAGATCGAAATGGACAAGGCAATATTTGCGTTCGATACGAATTTACGTTATTTAACGAACTCAATAACGAATTTCCAAAAGCTTGGAGTTGATAATCAAACTCATGCCATCACTAAAGGACGATTTCAACTCTTGCAAAATTACTGGAATAAATGCCAGGAGAATGCCGCTATCATTGAGGCAGTAGCAACCGACGCAGACGCGGCACAGCTTCCCTTCTTCTAGAGCAAGCTGCTAGACAAGGCGGAGGTCTCGTACATGCAAGCCTACGACTTCTTTCAAGAAAAACTCGAGGCATTCAACGTCGCTTCAATTTCCATTCCTGTACCAACGGCGGCCGCAACGACGTCCATCAACGAGATCCGATTGCCGAAGATCAACTTGCCTTCTTTCTCCGGTAATGTAACCGAGTGGCTAACGTTTCGCGATTTGTTTCTTGCGCTCGTTAAAAATCGCCGTTCCATATCGCAAGTCGAGAAATTGCAATATTTATTATCCGCGGTTACTGGCGACGCTGCTAAGTTGATTTCCCATCTTTCTCTAACCGATAGTAATTTCGATGTTGCATGGAAGGAACTCACGAATCGTTACGAAAATCAACGCGTTATTATTGACGCATATTTCAAACGTTTATTTACCATTCCTAATGTTTCGTCTAACGATCTGTTCGGGTTAAAACAATTACGCTCCAATTCATCGGAATCGATAAATGCTCTGCGTGCCTTGAAATGTTCTGTAGATGAATGGGATATGATTTTAGTCTACATTCTTGTACAAAAACTAGACAAATTGACGAGAAAAGATTGGGAAGTCAGCTTAGGTTCAGAGAGGAGATATCCTACGATGGAAAAACTATACGCGTTTCTAGATACACAAATTCGTTCGCTTGAGGCTGTATCCAAGGACGGAGATAACTCGAAGTCCGCCAACGGAAACTCATCCGAAAAGAGTTCCGGTGCTCGCTCGATTCCAAATGCGGCACGAAAAAATAATATAGTGCGTTCTCACCATACAAACACCGCGAGTACGTGCGCTCTTTGTTCCGAAACACATCGTTTAATGCATTGCGAGAAATTTCAAGCGTTAAGCATTTTGCATCGACTAGAGTTTGTTCAAAAAAATAATATATGCAAAAATTGTTTGACCAAAGGTCATTACGTTTCGAATTGTCGTAGTTCCTTTACTTGCTTGAAATGTAAAAGACAACATCATACTTTGTTACACGAGAATTCAAGGTCAAGTTTAACGACAACAACAGACTCTGGACAATGCGATAACGCGTCCAACGTACATTCACACGTGAACGCGGGAGTTAAACCCGTGCTCCTGGCTACCGCACGTGTTTGTATAGGATCAGAAAACGGTCGACATGTTTACACGCGAGCACTAATCGATCAAGGTTCCGATGCCACATTCGTTTCGTCACGAGTCGCTCAAATGTTGAGAGCTCGCTTAATTTCAACACGCGTAAAGATATCTGGCATCGGTGACACTACGTCTAATTGCGTTCAACATGCCGTCTCTATTTCTATCAGCGCGACTAATAAAAATGATACGATTCTTCATACCAAAGCATTGGTCGTTCCAAAAATTACAGCGTACATTCCACCTCATTTCCAATTACAAGAGATTCCGTTTCTTTCCAAATTGAATCTAGCCGATCCAAATCCAAGCTCAAATGATGCAATCGAAGTACTTCTCGGGGCCGAATTATACGGTTCAATTATGATGGGTGGCTTAATGAAAGCTTCTAACGATGCTACACTTGCGCAAGAAACGATATTCGGGTGGATCATTTCGG